TTACTGGCAGTTACATGGAGCCTGCTTGTGGCCGAGCGAGCACGGTAACAAGAAGAAAATACAACTAATAATATTCTAATATTTTTTCAATTAACGCCTATTCGTGCTCCCTGTTCTGACAATTCAAACGGGTGTGGATAAATGCCGCTATACTGGGATAAACAATATCTAAAAGATGCTAACACAAGGTTACTGACATGGCCTCCTGCCAAAGCGACGGCTAACGCAGATTAAGGTGTTCGTCAAGTTGCACACCAACAGTGACTGAGCGTAGGGCGTGGATATCCATATTACCAAAGAATTGAAGGGAGAAAAATTTAACACGTGGGGATAAAGATGTGGCTTCTCAAGGCTAAACAAAGGGGAGAGCTATTGTTGTAGTATGGGTTAGCTAACGTTAGCTAACAGGCTACGTTAGCTAGCGAGAAAGGTAATATGGCTCCAGTCCATTTAGTGCGAGAGACTGTTCGTTTATTTATTTCCTAAATAAGAAAATAACCATTCTCGCACTAGTTTAACTGCAACTGACACGATATGTCGTAAAAGAGCGTACTGATACCTCAGTATTTATCTGCTTGAATGATGTTTGCGTGCTTCCTGTCCTTCGCCACTTCCTTGTCTTCTTCGTGATGTTTTTGCGGCGGTGGACGAAAACAAAATGGCGCATTACCGCCACCAAATGGTATGACGCTGAAGTGCGGATCAGAAATGTTTTATCTTTCCCATTTGTTGCCCTTTTAATTACTCCATCCTGTATGTATCCTGTTTATATTCTGTTTCCAGCTCCTTAGTAAATTAATATTTTTACACTGAGTAAAAATTTTAAACCCAATACATTTGTTATGGCTGCACCATTTCACTAAATGTAAATATTGCAGATGCCCCCTATTATTTTATATGGTTTTAAGTTATGTCTTTGTCAACAATGTTTTGCTGCACAGCGTAAGTTGGTAACATCTTACTCACCATTGTCAGTGGAATTTAAGATGTTGAAGCCACCGATAATTGTAGCCTGATTTTAATGTAAATCTTGTTTATTATAAATGAGGACTAACTTCAGACAAAGATCCTACACCAGCCTTTAATTATTTGGCTTTCAGTAACCATGGAAGCAAGGAGGACACTTTTCTCTGATATAAAACGAGAAAGCAGACATTTCTAAGAGAAAATAGCTAATAAGTGGTCATAATAATAAATGGGATAATTATTTTTACTTTGACATGATAACCAAGCCAGAATGAAATATTTAAAAAGGGTTTTTCCATTTTAGCATTTCCATTTCTGCTTATACATAACATGAACATAGATTAAAGGATATATTCACATTTTCCAAAACGATAATCACATGCCCATATTTACACTGAAAGAGTTAAATTCTGTTTGGTGTTTTCCAGTGTAACTGTCTTTTCAGTATGAGAATCCCTCTTTGTGTTTCCACAGACGGTGCTTCTTTGCTGAGCTGGAGTGTAGGAATACTAACAGAAAGAGACTTTTGTATTTTAACGTTGGAAGATACCAATTTAGATTGTCTAACCCAGGCTGCCGAAGCCTTTTGTCCACCACCTCTTACATTTGAATCAGCTTAGGGAAGAATCTCTTCAGGTCATTTGAACCTCGTTTTTACGAAGCTATCTTCCAAATTACCCGTCGCAGATGTGTAGTATTGTGGAACAAATGTAAAGGACACAAACGTAGTACAAGGGTTTAGTATTAGAACAAAATTTAATAGATAAACTCTTGTACTATTATTATACTGTTATCCAATAAACTGCTAAGTACAGCCTTTTTTGGTGCTTTTCTTTGTCCTTCCTCTGAACCTTAACTGGTGCCTCATATAATCCAGGATTGCTTGTGGCCACACTTGAGTAATCTGCCCTTCACTGTCCATAATAAATGCAGATTCCACTTGTGGGAATGTACGGCCATCCTGGGATCCAAATGGAAAGTCTCCTCCACGTCCATCTGTGGCTTCCAAAGGACTGGGAATATGGTGTCGTTGGTAAGAAGTATCCAAAAAACCCTATGATCATATAAACAGTTGTTAGAGCCTCTTGTTTTAATCCAATGTTATTAAACTGTTATGGTACCTTTAATAAATTATCATGATTACATTTTCAGCAATAAAAGTCAAGTGGCAAATTCAAAATCAACTATACATGTGTAACTTACGTCATCATGGTGTTGAGGAGCTTCTCTGGAATCCAGCAGCACAAATGAAGACACAGTCAAGAATACCAAGAAAGACAATCTCAGCACAGATGAGTACGACAGCAGTGATCCAGGCATCTTCTCAGAGCTGCACTGCCCAGTACCCGGAGGAAGCTAAAATATTCCTGATGCTTTAAAACACGGCACACCAAAAGCAATCTTGAGGTTCTGTGCAAAGAATAACCCTTTTACAGGTTTCATTGCTTCAGATTCATCCATGTGATGTCACGTCCCAGCTGTTACAATCCATCTATTCTTATTTCTCAGCTTGTGTGGAACAAATGAGAAGCAAAAAAGAAACACACAAGCCAATCTATAGTTTCACACATGCCATAATCCAGCGAATGGCTACCCTAAGCACAGACCTGCCTGGAGAGTTTTGAAAGGTTCATTGAGCTCAAGTATGAATGATCCCTTCTTCAAAACAACAGGTGACCTGATTAAAACCACATGAAACAATGACTAAGAAAAGACATGGGGCTTGTTAGGGAGGATTAAAAGAACCGAATAAATCAACTATAGGATACACATGCTATGGAGTCTTTCCAGTGGAGTGTTCATTGATGAGCATAAAAGAACCTGAAAGACTCTAAATGCAGCAGGATGTCCACACTGCGCTAATTAGTTACCTGCCAATTGGATGAAAGACCTGGAATTAATTACCAGAACCAGTTCTAAGGTGAGCCACACTTTTACAAAAGCTAAGTGCTTTCAATACTTATTGTGAGACCTTCTGCAACTTATGACTCAGCACAGTGGGGCCAGAGAGTGACATACAATTACTGCCTTGCGGTTATTTGCCTCTGTGTACTAGTGAAGGTGCAGTTAAATTTTACACCCATGTCTGTGAGAACATGAATGCTTCACACACATCTTCAGACGATCAACACAATCAGCACAGATTCAAGGTGGACACCCAAGATTAATGTCTTTAATGGCTTCCAGTTCGTTTTAGGAGAGATTTTAAACTTGTGTTGTTTGTTTTTAATGCCATTAACAGCCTGGCTCTTCTCTACTTGTTAGAGATTTTAACTATCTGCGATAGTGGCAGGGCCCTGCGCTCGTCTGGTCAGCTTCTGTTAGAAGTCCCAAGGTCGAGATACAAACAGTGAGGTGACTGTTCTTTCGCTGCTGCTGCTGCTGCTGCTGAGCCAAGATTGTGGAACAAGCTCCCCCCTGACATTCACACCACTACTGATCTCGGCCTTTTTAAATCTAAGCTGAAGACCTACCTTTTTATAATGGCTTAATTTAATTTAATTTAATTTAACTTAATTTTATCTATGTTGAAAGGCTTTTAATATCCTGCAGCACTGTTGCACTATGTATTGTTTTATCTTTTTTTTTTTTTTTTTTTTTTTGTTTTTTTTGGTACTTCATGTACTTTCATTGTTATTTGACACTGTTGTTAAGCACTTTGGATACCTTTGGGTTTTGTAAAGAGCTATAGAAATAAATGTTGATTGACTGATAGATAGATAGATAGATAGATAGATAGATAGATAGATAGATGGATAGTGTCACCAGTTCAGTATCTCCCCTTCTGTTCCTGAGATATGACATTTAGTGATGGCCAGGAAAGTGTTTTTGCAGAACATTATGATGTCACAGTGGACATTTCGGATATGAAATGTCAACACTTCATCATTATATCCCATTAGACATTTGTGTTTAATTTTGTCATAATTAGTGTTATGGCCACAAACATGTTTCGTGAGGTCACAGTGACCTTAAACTTTTTTTTTTTTTAGATATTTTTGGGCATTTTAGCCTTTAATTGACAGGACAGACAAGTGTGAAAGGAGAGGGAGAGAGGGGGAGTGACATGCAGGAAATGGCCAGAGGCTGGAGTCAAGCCCGGGCCCCTGCAGCAACAGCCTTGTACATAGGGCGCCTGCTCTATCCACTAAGCCACCGACGCCCCATAATGAGTTTATTCTTGAGTCCAAGTGGACATTTGTGCCAAATATTACAAAGGTCCCTCAAGGACTTCTTGAGATATTGCGTTCACATGAGTAAGATGCAAGGTCACAATGACCTCTGACCACCAAATTCTTATCTGTTCATTGTAGTGGACATTTGCATCCAATTTGAAAAGAATTCCCTCAAGGTGTTGTTGAGATATCCATTAACAAAAATGAGAAGTATGCAAGGTTTCAGTGACTTTGACCTTTTAAGTTTATTCTTGAGTCCAACTGGACATTTGGGACAAGTTTGTAAAAATTCCCATAAGGCAGGGGTGTTCAAACTTTTTTGAATGGAGGCCAGATAAAACATTGTGAAAATACCTGGGGGCCAACTGATTCTCGTATCAAATGAGTTTTAAAAAAAAAAAAAAAAGTGAGACAAATGCAACCATTTTTATCTTTTAATGAACTATTACTACGTGATGCCTGTCTACAAACCGTATGATAGTCCTGTCATTGTGAGGTGAAGGGTAAAAATGTGAAGTGATCTTGCTCGATTAACCAACCAAGGGCCACATATGGTATATTCTGAAAGTCAAGCTGAGGGCCGTTTAAAATCGGTCTGTGGGCCAGACTTGGGACATGCCTGCCATAAGGCATTCCTGAGATATCACATTCACGAGAATGGGACAGACAACAAAATGGCTTTAGCCACAGCTATCCTCAGCGCAGAGGTATAACACATTATGTCTTAATTCTTCTCAATGGAGAGTATTCCTTCTATAATCATGACACCATATATAATAGTTAGATTGATCTCAGCTTTGTATCTATTCACAAATAATTAAAAACAGCAGAACACATGCTAGTGACATACCCATTTGGTAACAATTTGCTCTATAATGGCTTTATTATAAACACACATTATCACGTTGGACAACAGGCCATTGTAAGGAAAAGTGTTCCTGTATTTCTCTTTTCTGATTTCAACAACAAAAAGTGGCTCCAAAGTCCCGTTTCAATATCATTTAATCTTCCACAAATCACACAATAAATGCAGCTTTCCACAGACTGTGTTCAGAAATCCTAACAATTCTCAAACCTGCTTTATACATGGAAATCATACTTGACACTGTACATTTATTATTTAAGTGTGATTAAACTAGGCACATTCTAAAAGAAGAAGAAAAAATAAAAATTTGGGGGATTACATTTGTCCATTTGTTTCAGTCGACAGTCTCTAAAATTGAGACATATAGAGGGAAAAAAAGAAAAGTACAGTACAAAGTCATTTGAAGCATACTGCAAATAGGAAAAAAGCAGTTCTATTTTACAATACAGACTATTGCCAACAAGTCCCGATCAAACGTTGATAGTGTTGAGTCTTTTAATCAATCATCAGTAGGATAAAAAGATGGAATGTTATGATTTCAGAGTCCTACTGATTTGCCTCTTTCACACTGAATGCAACGTACTGACAATTCCTCAGACACATAACATATATATGCATCGTGTACAGTGTTTCCTCTGTTATCATTTACAGTTGTGGTGTTGGGGGGGTTACATTTGGTCCCCTATCTAATGTGGTAAAGATCAAGTCATGTTATTTTAAATATTTAAACAGTTTGAAGACCATTTTCAGCACTATTTTTTATCACAGATGACAGTAAGCCTGAATTACAATTCTGATTTCATATTTTTTTTGACTGAAAATTAACACAGAGGAAACACTGATCACATTTGTATAATCCCATCTAGGCGAATAGAGAGTGTGGTTAGATCTGTACAGTGCTTAAAAATATCCACCCCCTGTCAGGTTATTTATTATACATTAAAAACTAACAAAAGAAAAAATCTAGAAACAAAAATTCCAGTTATGAATTTACGATCTTAGATCAAGATAAAAACAGTTGGAGCAGTGAAACAGTTTGGCTGAAACAACTTTTTTAAGTTTCTATTTGTGCTGCTCCTCAAATAACTCAACAGCGTGGTGGTCATTATATAAAGTCGAGAAACAATCCATATCTTGTTTGACAGCCGCCGAGCCTGTCCAAAATGTTTAGGTGCAAATCAAGCATGTGTAAGATGGCTATCTGTGTCGTTACTATAAACACGTGGAGACACAGGCTGTCTATTTCTTGTTCGTCACTATAAAAACTAACATGAAGCACATTTACAGACGAGGGGACGAAATCAAAGCTTTCAAACCAGCGGTATTCATATACAGCTAGACAAGAGGAAAACAAAGGAGTGTGAATGCTGTCCCTTCTATTTCCAAACATTTAACATACACATGTACATCAAGGCCAATGTAAGGCAATGCTCTTTTCTATCCTAAAAACACCCCCAGGGTCCCCACCTCAACATGTTATCATTCTGTCATGTATAAAAATGGAAAAAGATCCACTGAAGGTAAACTATGCAGGATTGTCCTAGAAAACAATGTATAGACTCATACAGTAGTAATCTGTCTCAATCATCACTTGACCCGCTGGAAGTGCGTGGCCGTGTATTTTTTCGGTACAGATTCTGCCCCATGCCTGAATTTTTTTATTTCCTGTGTTCAGGACATTTTTGGGCGTGTATCCGACTAGGGGCTAGATGCATATACGATGTGTACGTCTTTGTATATGTATTTATAAAGGAAGGATGCACAGTGAGAATGTGCACCTCACACATTCTTTAGACCGTCAGTACACGTGTTTTTAGCTTAGATAGCTGCAGGTGATGTGATAAGAAGATGATTATTTATAAGTTGAGAGATGGATAATACTGTTTTGAGGTTGTTTGCTCATGTCACTGACTGCATTTTTTAAGGCTACACAGCACTCTGCAAAATATCAATGAAAAGGTGCATTTATAAAGCTAATTAAAAATAACTTCAGTGATAAATCTCATTATTTTTATTTACATTCATCTTCCTGTTAATAAATGTTTATCATTGTCCTGTGAAGCACTTTGTAAAGTCAGTTTCAAAATGAGTGCTAAGAATGAATCCTTATGAAGTTTAACAATAATAATGATTGAGATTTTACGCGATGATGGTGTGCAGAAATGTGATGAATTAGTGGTACGGATGCTGTGTGTAATGACGGCTACGCTGGCACCCTCGCTGATGCAACACAGTCAGTGACAATGCACTTTCTTTACTATATTTCTTATTGGCAGATAAGGAGGGGCACAAGTATCATATGCAAATTAATGTCAGGTCTTTTCTACATCCATTTATGACAAACTGTGGTTTTGGAAACAAAGCTTGTGCACGTGCACCCAGCACTGCAATGATCGAGGTCCATAAAACAAAATCAGTCGTACGCATGGCTTTATAAATCTGACAAAAAAATTGTGTATGGAAGTTTCAACCTTCTAGTTTCAGTCGTGAATCTACACAGAGTTTTATGCATCTGGCCCCAGGTGCTAGACCGTAAGTAGCAGGCAACCAGGCCACAGCGCCACAAAACAGAAATATAGCGAGGCCAAACGCCATACGTGAGTGAATTCAGGCAATCCTGAATAGTAAACCTTTAAATATTCATGAATCTATTTTTCACTAATTCAAAGAAAAAAAAAGCTAAAACAACTCGTAAGACCAAACCCTGTTAGTTCTCACTGTGTTAAACATTTAAAATACCCACTGACCTTTAATATTGTTGCTAAAAACCTGAGTTTGTTCAACGTGACAAACTGGATAAAGCTAAAAATATTTTCCTTAAACTGACCACAAAGTATTATCAATAACAATGTCAAAACAGCAGAAATGTATAACATCTTTGCAATATTCTATAATAGCGTAATTTAGTGTGGATATTGAAAAAATCTAAAAATTTCAAAGAACTGAAATATATGTGTTTTTAAAATGCAAAAGGAGAGCCAAGGGGATTAAAAGATCAAATAAAGACATTTCTTTTCCCTGTGCAAACCCTTGTTAGGAAACGATGTGAGGCTGGTAAAAAGGGCTGTCAGATATAAAACGATTATGATTAAGACGACAGAGCGTCTTCACACTGCACTAACCTCACTGAAACCTTACACAGGAAACCTAGAGGATCCAATTAAATGTGAGCAGAGAATTTGTACTGTTTAGCAACACAGGCTTCATCTAGCTGAGTCGCACTCTTACTTATACAGCACATTAGATTCAAGTGGCCCTTTCTTTTTGTGCAGCACTAGTGGTTAGGTCACGTGGCGTGGTCAAGTTAAGAAATACAACATGCATTAAAAAAGGAGGTCTACAGACAATTAAGGGAGTACCGGAGCGTAAAGAGGTGGTTGATGCTCAATGTTGGATTTTTTTGCTGCATGTGCTTTGACACTAACAAGTAGACCTCCTCTGGTTACTGGGTAAAAGATTCTGTTATCATAAATGTCTAGCTTTCAACAAATCTGAGAACTATTTCAAAATACAGTTTGATGGCAAGACTGATGACACAAAGACTGCTCTTAGGTAAAACTAAGTGATCTCATCGCAGCTATGTTCCAGCCATCAGACCTCCACTCTGTCCCTACCAATAAGCTGAGCAGTGTCGTCATCAGTGTGGTGCCTGTCCTCTCCTGCGTCATCGCTTTCTGAGTCCGTGTCCTCCAGGGGGGAGTGGTAGCCTTCATAACCCAGGATGGGTGAGTCGCAGTGTGCAGGGGAGGCGAGGCACTGGGCAGTAGTGGTGGTGGTGGTAGCTGAGTAGGCCCCTGGGCTCCCTGAGGGGGACCCCGGGTTGGAGGGTCGCAGCAGGGGAGTGCGCTCCGAGTCTGCTTCACCCTCCGTTCCCTCTTCTTCTCCACGTCCTCCAGTTTCCTCCTCAGAATCAGACTCTGAGTGCTCTTGGTTGTTGCGAGTGACGCGTTGTTTGCACACAGGGCAGGTCTTCTTGGTCTGTGTGAGCCACGGGTCCACACACTTGCAATGGTAGGCTGACAAGCAGAGAGAGTGACAGTTAGCAACGAGTAGGCCTCTCATGAGTGCTACTTTTGTTGGACAATATATATTGGCCCAGCAATTAATTGTGATTTAAGTCTATGTTATGTCACTGATATAATTATAACAACCTTGCATGATGATACAATTACACCCTACATCGGACATCGGAGACATCGGAGTTGGCATATATGTAAATATAAAAAAATATCATATTAGCATTAAGTAATGAACACCTGTTAATAGGGATGTCACGAGAACTGAACTGGTACCAAGTCAATGCTAAAATTCTGAAAACATAAAGATTCTCATTTTTCTCCAGTCCTGTACATACTGGGGATTTAATTCTTCAAGTCCTGACGGGGCAGCATATATGCCTAAAAGTGTTCTAGGCTGCCAAAGGAAGAAGAACTCCCGCCAGCAAGAAAGCTAGGTGGTTTGCTGGTGGATTTATGGAGTGGAGGATGAAGTTATTGGAGGGTGAAACTACAAACGACAAACTTCCTGGTTCGTTGCCAGGGGTTGGCAAGCTAACAAATATCAGGACTGTGCCTCTTTCACTCCTAAAGTGCAGCTGCAGGCTACAAGTAAGCTACGCTGTGTCGTCTTTGAAGTGTTGTTTTATTTTTCTTTGAACATGCTCAGGTAGGCAGGGATGGAGACAAAAAACCCAGACTAAATTGCTGCACCCAAGCAATGGTCAAGAAAACTCTGCTGTTGCTGTTTATTCTGGCATCATGTTGGCTAAAATGTTGGTGACATTCTTATGTAAATGAACACACGTAAATACCACGGGCAATATCGAGGTCAGCAAATGATTGAGGTCATGTCCATATATCATACTATAAGTCGATAAGGGCTGCAGTGCAGGAGGAACTGGCAATTTCAAGTGCGGAGGAAAATGGATGATGTTCCTTCATGAACATGCTGATCATTGGCAGTACAATACTGTACTTTTGAAGATAGATAGGTAGGGGTACAAATGTTGACTTGGATAAAAGGGTATATTTACATACACTGTGTTCAATTGGTACAGAAGTTTGTTGCTGCAAGTGTGGTAGTTGTGCACATTTCTGTGAATCAGTAGAAATATTTTTGCACTGTAACATAAAAACTTCAAAACAACATAATAAGACCTTAAAAAAATATTTACCATGAGAACAAGGTAAAACTCGCAGCTTGTCTCCTTCTTCATAGTCATCCAGACATATTGCACACACATCATAGTCGTCCCCTGAAGAAGAGGAGAAAATTTATCAATTTAAATCAAATTTAAATTAAACATTATTTCACTTCTTAAGTAACATTTTATCATAAGAATTTGTTCTACAATTAAAAAGCTCCACAGACGAAACTTAATAGACTTCATATTCACATCCAAGGAAAATTTGATCACTGCAGTTGATTCTTAATATTTTTCTAAAAACAACCAATAACACTGACAATGATGAAATCTTGTTACCTTTGGTGAACCTGTGGGTTGGAATCCGCTTCAGCTGTTCCTTGGACAAGCGATTTTTCCTCAGCCTTTTCCTGTACTGTACACATCGTATGATCTAAACAATCCGAAAAGACAATGTTACTGTTGGCGGGAGAGCAACACTGACACTCAACATTCATGGATGGGTTTCTTTTTTTGTGTTCATGTAGGACCCCACAGCTCATGAAAAGTACGCAGCTGATTTGTAAAATAGTTTTCCAGGGCCTTATGCTTACTAAAAAGATGTGTCTACTGAATAAATATAGCATCTCAAGAGGGAAATTAGCTGGCTCGAGTTTTAGGTCACTATTCATCAACTACTCGTCTTTGCTATCCATGGTCCAAACAGTCTATCTTTGGAACCAGGATGACAGAGGAAATCCATTGTATGATTGCACTATTTCTCTTTCATTCGAACAATAGTAGACTTGAAAACTGTAACCCAAAAGACTGTGCTACATACTGAATAAACACCCAGGGAGGCATCACATTATATGCATACTTACCAAGACGACACCCATCACAAGAATGATCATGCCAACTACTCCAGTGAAGGGGATAAGGTAGTATGAGAGTGGAAAAGCAAACTCCGGCTTGAGGATCACGTAGGCCCTGCAGATACCAACATTACCATAAGCACTAGCACTGAAAAGGTCAGTATGTATTGGGTCTGTGCACATGTAATGCTCACTGTTACAGTTTGGTTTGGTATACATTCCTGTTTAATAATGGTTGTACTTACCCTTGTTCTGGAATTATGAAATTCTTGAGAATTTGGGAAGCATAGTAGCTGGTGAATACAGAAGGGATCTCAATTTCTTCTGCAATCGTTTCTGTAACATAAAGACATTTTTAGCCATTTTAGTAAGATAGTGTGAATATGTAAAGTTTGAAATTCTGGGCATTCAATAAAAGAGAATTACCGTTGCTGTAGTTCATATTGAGCAGAGTGTCTGAGTACATGTTGTGAATGATTGCAGCACTGTATCCGGCTTGCTGTGCGTGCAAGACCTGAAAACCAGTTTCTCACATTAGACCAGTTTGCTTCACAGACACTACAACGTTTTCACTGTCGCTTAAACATGACTGACCTTTATATCAAAATTGCAGTCGTAGCGTCTGATGAGGACAATGAATTTGGTGGTGTTGGCATCATAAGATGAGGGCAGTGGAAGAGGAGGGGCTATTGGTGTACAGCCATTAAGCGGACGGGACACCGCCAAAACTCCCTTTCGGACAAAGACAAAAAAAAAAAAAAAGTCATTATAAAGGACTGTGACTTATGTTTTTCTGTATCCACCCTTTCTCCAATACTCTGTTCTCACCATTAGTCCATCTTTAGGAAGAGGGGCGCCAAACAAGGCAGGCAGGTCCTCAAACAACATCGAGGTCATATTGCTATAGTGCTGCAAAAACAACATATACATAAGAACAGACATCATCTCCAGGAGAATTTGAGGAATCATATTTGCGGCTAAATCTAACAGAGTACTTACAGCATAGATATAGGCATGTGTGGGGGAGGGAACCAGAACGCTGCAAAGAACCACTACAAGGACACTCAATCGAGCTCCCGTGCACCACACACCAAGGTGAGACATCCTTGGTCGCTTACAGTTGAACTAAACTGGGAAAAAGATACGACAGTAACACATCATAATCAAGAGTATTCAGTCACAACCAGCAGCAAATAACTCAGGTCTCAGGTTGAAGCTCATCTAGCAGCTTGATTACAGCCTTTCATTAACATACTAATGCAAACAGACAATTCAGGTGGTAAAACCTTGTAAATATGCACATGGTTATGCAAACAAGGAAGTGCAAACTGGCTCTCCAGCATGCATTAACATGTATTGTCATGGAGTGGCAGAGCAAACTAAGCCAAGTATGCGACTGTGATTCTGTTACACTGTGAGAATACGAATGTCCTCTCAAGACCATGATTTTACAAACAAATTTATTTTGCATAAAACACAAAGTGCATCGTATTGACCTTTAACCACAGTCTGCACTGTGTTCTGAGAATTTTTTATCAATAATCTCTGCAAGAGACCCCCTTCATGTAGTTATCGGCACTTGTTCTAAAATATCAATTAAGTGCCTGTACTGTCTTGTTGAAAAGTCAATCTATTTGTTTTTCTTGGTGCTAACATCTTATGGCTTATTCTTAAAATGAAGTATTTAACGAATTACCTCATTATTAGTTTGTTATATTCAGTTTTCTTTCCTGGCATGATTCTTTGTGAATGTCATTTGTGTTGTTAACAATACATTAATATTACCCCTTTAAATCTTTAGCTCCCCAGTCCCAAACTGCTCCAGGGGTGCCGTATTTTGGCTGACCCTGCGCTATCCCTCTACATAATTGCATGTGTGTGTTGTGTGTAATAATAAGGATATGTGAAATTCACATTTCAACTGCCAACTGCCTTGATGTGGATTCACAAGCACAGAAATTTAATTAAATTAAGTTCCCACATTATTGTCGGGTTTTAATGCTACAACTGCACTGGGAATTCTGTTTACAAATCCAGGCAAAATAACTGTTGGTAATTTATACTCTTAATAAACTACAACTCAGTTCAGTAGTTCAGCATTACTCTCCTGCCTTGTCAAGAGGTCTAAGGGTATTCAGATTTTTATTGATGCGTATAAGTATGAAAATATTAGAGGGGTTACAGGCAAATTTTATAAAGCTATTACTTCTATGAACAAAAATTCTACAGACTATGTACGACAGCGCTGGGGAAAGGACCTAGGGATGGAAATAACTGTGGAGGAGTGGACACATGCGTGGGAAACTCAATGCTCAACCACTAATTCATTGACATGGAGAGATTTTGGATGGAAGAGTTTGATACGCTTTTTTATAACACCAAAGCAGAAATCCAAGTGGACTGGGACACAGCTCCCCTGTTGGAGGGAGTGTGGATCAGCGCAAGCGGACCATGCCCATGTATTTTGGTTGGTCCACGGATCAGACCTTTTTGGGAAAAGACAGGACGTTTACTATCCAAGCTTCTGGGTCTTAACAGTGTTGAGTCTTTTGCAGTTCTGTATCTAGGTGTTACTCCCAAAGGCCTATCTAAGGGAGATACTTATCTCTTGAAGATTTTCCTTGTCGCATGTAAAAAGGCTGTCACCAAATGTTGGCTTCAGACAAATCCTCCCTCTATGGATCTTTTTATAAATGTAGTCAGTTCTATACGCGCCATGGAAAAGATGACTTTATCTTTCTACAGAAAGATAAGGGGGAAAACTATTGGAGACAATGGGATTGTTACCTGCAGGAAAACAACATTGATTAGGGATTTTTTCTTTTAATTTTTTATTATTTTATTCTTTTATTTGTTGCGGGACTAAACTGTGAAATTTCTCTATAGTAACCTGTACCTGTTTCTGATGTGCTTATATTTGCCAAGACCTCATGTTCTGTTCTCTATTTTTTGTTGTTGCTTTTTTCCACTGTACTTGAAATCCTGAAAATAAAGAGGTCTTAGGGGAATTGATGGTTGGGTTGGACCAGACCTAAAGACTGTCCACATTGATGAACGCTCAAAAACTATGATGACAGTGCTTTGGAAACTTGACTTTGAATATTGCAAAGCATGATCAAAACACAATTTACATTTGGAGGCCCTTATGTTGCTATAAACAGAAAGCCCTGGCTCAGGATAACACTGGCTGCTCTGTTGAATGCTGGTAACTAACTTATTTGTGTTTGACTAGGTTTGGGAGGCAGATTGCATTAGGGTAAGGTAAAAGTAAGTGCAATGCAATTATGAACATGTTCACGTGTCCTTGGGCCTTTTCTGTACTGTATGTGGGCTGTTTTATGGCACTACATAGCAATTAACCCAAAGTGCTGCCTCCTGGTTGTACTACCATAAACCCCACTGAAAGCTACTGTCTGTGTATCAAAGTCAACACCTTCAGTTATTTTAGCTGCCCACAGAAAGTTAATGGAGAATGAACCCTCTGTTGTTGTGCTGCATTTGTCTCAATCCTAAACCTGTTGGTTGTGTTGTTAGCTAATGGTTTCTCATCACGTCCTGTGAAACAACAATAATAGATGCTGCTGTCACTCCTTCCAGACGATTAGCTAGCCTATAATTAGTGAGGTTAAAATAGTCAGACCCGTTAGACTGCCATTAACATTCAGCTTAGTTATTAAATCCGCTGTGTTTCACTCAACAACGAAAACAAATGTAAAAAAAAAAAAAAAAGCATCAGAAGTCACTGGGGTAACGTTGATGTTATTGTGTGTAGTTAGCTAACGTTACATACCTTAGTATCCTGCTAGTATCGGCACCGTGACGGTTGTAATCCAACGTCAAGTTATTCCAGGCGTCTCAGTTGAGTTTCTCACATGTCGTCGTGTTAAAACGATTGAGTTTGTTTTTCTTTACGACGTCTAGCTACTTTCTCGACAATCCTGTAATTCCACAAGAAAACGACAAAGACAGGGAGGATTAACGTTAGCTGACGTTTGGCTAGTGTTAGCAGATGTTAGATACCAGTTACGTGACACATACGATATTCATTATGCGATAGGAATATAGAAGCATATAAACTGTGATAACAATGTGTTTGTGCACCGTGAGGAACACACTTTGCCTTTGTGCTCGGTTTCCCAGAGTTGCGTTAGCTTCCTGCTGCTAGGTTTGTTTGTTATTGCTTCTTGCGCCCTGTGTCTTCTTTGTGTCGTGACGGCAGGTTGACTCACCAGCATGCTGAGCCCACAGCGCCACCTGCGGCCACATGGACAAACAGCAGTGAACTGAGTGTCCTGCAGGGTTCATGTTCTTCTCACAGAGAGCCAGGCACAGGCTGGTTTTCTATGGTTCATGGTCAACCACCCGTGGCTTTAATGTGTCTTAAATAGCAAATGAAAACCTAATGGAGCCTACATGAAGTGATTAAAGTAACTATAAAAAGTCTGTAATAATAATAGTCATAATAGAGCCATAACATGAAATATGCAAAAAGATTTCACATGCTGAAGACTTCAGGTTCCATGTCGCGGAAACAGACGCAGACAGAGACAGACCGGTTTCACTGCATTCAGATGAACAGATTCCAATCATTCAGGCCCCTATCTACAGATCAGCATACACAGGTCACACAAGCATATTTCCTGTGGGTATGTCAGGTGCAAGAGACTGGGCCCCTGATAGAAATCCTAAAAATAATTCATAATACACAAAAAGAATCTAATAATAAATATTAAGATAAAGGGATTTAGTATTAAAAAATAAAGGCATAAATTAAATTAGCTTAATGAACAAAATAACACGTGTTTATAATATATTTTAACTTGACTGTTTATGTGACATGAATAAAATGAAGGGACTAAGAATTTAAAAAACACACGAAATGTGAAAAAAGATTAAGATAAAGGTTTTTAGTGAGCTACAGAAAAACAGGTATTACATTAATTAGATAACCCTTAAAAAATATAAAAATAGAAAAACTATATCTTTCAAAGTGACTGGTTTAATGGACTAAAGGGATTAAGAGCTCCTTCACTGGACTTTTACTCCTCGCAATGGGGAACTGAATTAAACAATAAGCCCAACTAAACGTGACAGATAGTATGCATTTTTAAAATTCAATAATAGCAAATAGGGCAGGAAAATATACAATGAATGTATTAAAACAATAATTAAAAAAATAAACAGATTGTTATAAAGGGGTTAAATAATTCAAAATATATACATTAGGTTAAAAGAAAAGGGGTGGGTTGGTATATTAAATAACACATTTAAATTAAAATGGTAAAATAAATGGGGAAAAACTGTAAACATGTTTTAATCTGTGTATTTGTATCTGCTGCTCTGCTTATAGTTCCTAATGATGTCCACCAGAGAGCGCCTTCACACATGAAACCAGAAGCTAACAGGTAAAACCCACTCAAGTGAACTTTCAAGTGTTTTTTTTTTAACGTGTTATTATGTTGATTATGAAATTATTTTGTCCTCTACCGTATCTCAGAGGGAATATTGTACATTTAATACTACATCAGATTCAATATCTTTCAATCGGTTGATTATCAGCAAAACAATTAGACAAATTAAAGTGTGGAAAATAATGAATAAACTATATGTAGCCTGTGTGTGTGTGTGTGTGTGTGTGTGTGTGTGTGTGTCTTCACTTGGAGCCACTGCACCAACCATTTTCATTTAGGGAATGTGGTTTCCACCTTGTCCAACACTTCCTCCCAGCTCTGCCTCTGAGAGACTTCACTTCCAAATTATATTCTTAAGATTTTAAATCCCCTTTTTTCCCCAAGAAGACTAGGAATGCTCCCCAAGCTCCACTGACCCACCAAACAAGCCTCACTTTTTTTCCCAGTTAACCCTGGCTCAAGGGGCGTTTTCACAGACAAAGACAGCTCCCACTAAGGACACTAGAGAGCTCTGAAGCTCCGAATCTCTCCAGGACTGTTCTGCCACTATAGGCTCACCACCAGCTATGAGCTCAGAGGTATTACCTACGGATGAGGTGATGTCACAGCCTCGGCTCTGTGGTGTCTGACTGGGCATCAGACACCCATTTCAAATGTTATTACTCATTATTGGGCATAAGTAGTGGTTATCAACGTCATAGATATGGGTTAGTGGGGTCTTTACATCTCCAGATGTGAGTGTGGAGGTCAGGAGGGTGACGGATTCCTGTCCTATGTTTAACTTTGGTTCTTGGAGACTTAACGACTTCACTAATGACATCATTGACCATTAATGTTGCTGATAAACTTTGTCCTCACAATAAAACTAGAGAAAGGCCATGTGGTTTTTAAACCCTTCAACCCCTTGTGGACGTGTATATATGCAACATATGTGTTCATCCACCACACAGGGAGCATCGATGTACACAGCAAATGAAATGGCAGTGTGTGGTATTATGGGTTTAAAAGTGGGACATTTGGTCTGATGGCACAAGTACAGGAAAGGTCAGAGTTTACCCAAGGAACTAGTAGCATATTTCATTGAAGTCATGTTGTTCTCATGAAACCAAAGTGTTTGGTTAAGTGGAATTTATTGATCAAACTCGTGTACTATAAAGGTCAGGGAATGCTCTGAGGGATGACCACAACCAACAGTATCAAATGTCAGTCTGGTCCAAAGCAAGACATCTTGAAAACTATTAGCCAGTGTGTTAGCCACCTGTATGATCAACTGAATATACAACTGCAACTCTTACAGTAGGCTTATTGACTTAGGGCCAAAAACAGACAACCTTTCCAAAGTGGTGCACTCTCCTCTGCCTACTATAAGCATGTCATCCATCCATTTCTGTAACCGCTTCTCCTCTTGAGGGTCGCGGGAGGGCTGGAGCCTATCCCAGCTGACACTGGGTGAGAGGCAGGGTACACCCTGGACATGTCGCCAGACTATCACAGGGCTGACACATAGAGACAGACAACCATTCACACTCACATTCACACCTACGGACAATTTAGAGTCACCAGTTAACCTGCATGTCTTTGGACTGTGGGAGGAAGCTGGAGCACCTGGAGGAAACCCACGCTGACACAGGGAGAACATGCAAACTCCACACAGAAGGGATTGAACCAGGAACCCTCTTGCTGTGAGGCGACAGTGCTAACCACTACACCACTATAAGCATTTACTGTATATCATCAAACCCTCCAGTAACCCTGAGTGTAGACACTCGCACATAGAAAATGACTGAATGTTCAGAAACCATTCATCCGTCAGCTTAAATGATTTTGTGGGAATCAAGGTCTGCTTTTCACACATGTTTTTTCAAGAGATAAAAGTCCAAACCTTTGACTGACTGTTCAAATCGCCCACATTTTTCCTGTTCCCAAACGTTCCAGAGAGGAGCTGTTTGCCTTTGGGAGTTATAATTACCTCACCTGAGAGTCAGTTGCCATAGACCCTGGCTCCCAAAGCTGGTTGTAAAGACCCTGACCCACACGGTCCCACTGTACCAGCACATAATCATGTCACTAAATGATAAAAACATGATCATGTAGACAGAATGGAAAAAAAGTAACACCTGCACTTTATGTCAAGTAATTAATTTGCCAGCAAACAGCAAGATATGGTGCACAATGCCAAACAAATGAAAAGGAGGATTAAAGTCTTAACCTGCAGCAATGTTTGTTGTGTGTATTATAAATATGCATTTAGGTTAATGAAGTAAAAAATATGCAATTATGTAAAACAAATAGAAATTAAATGTCAACTCCTCAAACTCACAATTATTTTTCTTTCTCCCTTCGGGTCTTGTCTGCAATCCTTTTCTAGCCTTCAGCTGGAACTATCTTTAACAATATGCGTCATCACACAGATGGTTAGGGCCGCTTTCATCAAAATCTCTTATTGACTCTTTTGCAAATGCAGTTAGAGCAGCATGTGATGCACAACACAGACACATCCAGGCTGGCAGTTAAGATGGCAAGCAGTGGTTAACATGGCTGTTTCTACTAAAGCTGTGTCCATGTGTCATGTGTTTGTTTTGCTGTTGTAGTTGAGGTCAGATGGAGGGCAGACTTGAACAAAACGCACAAGTCTTCTTCACTTTGTTATTTTCACTTTTTTTGATAGATTGTAAAATGGAGAATAAGTGAAAAGATTGCAAAGTGAAATTCAGAGTGAAATCATCTGATTTGAGACTTATATAATCTAAGATTGTGAATCCTAGGACCAACTACTGGTCCTTTTGCAGGTATTGTAGTGTTCTCTGTGCACTTAATGGACCTTGTGCAAGAAACAACATACAAACAAATTTTCTTCTTTTTTCCTTTCATATCCACAATTTTGTTCTTATTTTGTTAGGACTCCTAGGATACACCAGTGTTGCTTATTTTTGCTCTTATCTTAGGTAAGAGAAAATTTTATGAGTGGTCGAGAGTCCTTTTACCAAGATAAGAGAAAACATTTTCACAGTCTCTAATTTTTTGTCCAATGCGAGGAAAATTAAGTTTTAGATTTTAGGAACAGAAACAAATGCATGAATGTCATATAATTTACCTTATTATGTTTTAGAGTGATTATAATGACTGGATTATTGTCATGAATCCTTCCTGATCTGTGTTCAGTATTCACTCAGTAGTTTCTCTTGTCATTCCAGATCCTGCCATTCCCCCATGTCTGGCCTTCATTCATTCCCTTCACCTGACGCTCCAGGCCCATCTCCTCACCTGCACTCTATTCCTTCATCAGCTCCTCAGTATATATACTAGCCCATTTCCCCTTGTCCTTTGCCATATTGTCTTAGCTTTTTGCTAGCATTCCAGCCCTTACCTTATCACCTGAAGATTGTCACTCTGCCTGATTCCCTGGATTCTGACTCTACGCCTGACTACCTGGACTCTGATTCCCTGCCTCACCCCTGTCAGTTAAGTTTGCTCTTTCTGATTGATCTCCTGGTTCTGACTCCTGCCTGTTTGTTGGATTAAACCTTTTGGACTTTGAATTGAACTGATTGTTTCTTGTCGTGCTTGTGCTTTCAAATTGAGTCAGTGACCATATACCTTTTGTATACCTCCTGTTGTTTTTATACCTCCTGTTTGATGTTGAAGCAGATCTCTCTGGGTCATATACACCTCTTAACTGAGAGGCTACTATTATATTTAGAGTCCGGGCAGCTAAGCTGCCAGGACATTATTGTAATCCTAGGTATTCTTCTTCTTTCTTCTTCTTTCTTCTTCTTCTTCTTCTTCTTCTTCTTC